CCTCAGAGTCGATAGGTGGGTTGGTGCGTCTCTGGTGAGGCTGGAGGTTAAATTTTTTGACGGAAATGCAAATTTAAGAGCACGGGCTTCGCCGCCACCGACCCTGGCGGATAAAGCCGCCATTGGCGTAAGTCTGGCCCCGCTCTCAGAGCCATTTGGGGCCATTTGGGGGCCATGTGGGGCCATGCCATGACTGTAGCGTATGACCACTAACCTGTTCCTACCCCCTCCCCTTACCGGCTTAGCGCTTTCAGCTGATAATTACCTTAGCTTACACACACACACACATATATACAACAACATATGTCTACAAGAAATACTGCACCTAAATATATTAATATAATATATATAAATATGTGTGTGTGTGTATTTTTAGCTATTTTAAAAAGACTGGTGAACTTCAGAAAGGGAAGCGCAATTCATTTTTTTAAATTATGAAAATTCCAAACTTCTCAAGATTTCACTTATCTAGCGTGGTTTTTTGTGTATATGTGTATAGTACATTCCTGTATGGGTGTAGTATATTCCTTTTTGGGTGTAGGCCTGACGAATTGTGTAAGGAATAATCTAGTTAGGCTTCACCACTGGTCACTTGTACAGATTACACTAACGCAGCGAGTGAGGTTAAGTGATGCCTCGTACTTTTCAAACTAAAATATTAGTGAATAGTGTAGTGGCAAGCGGCCCATATGGCAGCCGGGTTCCTGCACTACTAACCATCTAACCTGGAATTTTTTTCCCGCGAAAAACAAGGGCGCACGTTAATCAAATCAGCAGATAATTTAGATATCTTGCCGACGAATTGTAACCAACCAGACTCGCCCTGACATAAGAATGAGGTGTGTTTGCTTTTGTGTTCGAATACTTATTGGCAAGTGTAGGACTAGAAATTATGCTCCTGATATATATATATATATATCAAATATAATTAGGCTGATGCAAAAAGGGGGTAATTCATCAATACATATCAGCAACCTTGTTTTGTAAATGCACCAAAGTCATCATGACAGACACAAAAAAAATGGCTCGTTACTGTCCTCTTGAACTGCAGCCTATATTATTCAGCCGATATGTTGGTAACACCTTTTTTTCGGGCGTCTGTTGGTGCAAATTTAAATCAGGCGTCAATGTGGCGAGAGCCTCATGCGGTCTGTCGATCAAAGCCTTTTCTTACACACTAGATGTAGTTAACATTTGACACCTGTCCTCAGGCTAGGCATGCTTCCTACTGGCCGACAATAATGCGTATACCCAGTCATCATGGGAGGTAGGCTGTGTATAGATTTCCGAAATAGAGAGGGGGGGGGAAGAGAGAGGTCTAATTTTTTCCCTCCTAGTTCAAATACAAGACCGGTGGCGTGCCAAGTATGATGGGAGGGCGTTGCCATTCCTCTTGCTTACAACTGGGCTTATGTACTTGTCAAACATGATATTTGTAATTCCTGAGCTACGAGTTCTCTATTGGTAGTGTCGGCCGCACGCTACCGCTGATACGTCCATATACTCACAGCTTGTAGTTAATTGATTTCATACAGCAGCTGTTGACACAGTTGCGGCGTGAAGTAATCGAAGAAAACATTCCATAGGAGGGTCCTGGGGGAGCTTGTCGTAGTGGCAGGAATATAAACACGGTGTAAAAAGCAACATTCCCGCCGACCAACTCCCCCTCCATGGAAATCGGCTTGGGGCGGTGCTCTTGAGGGCTAGAATGGCGCAAGAGGAGAGGCTGTCACGCCATCAGGTGATTGAGTCTCGTAGCCAGGCCCCTTGGAGGCGTCTAGCAGGAGTAGCCCGGTCTCCTAGCCAAGCCCCTTGGAGGTGTCTAGCAGGAGTAGCCTGGTCTCCTAGGAAGGCTTGTCTCCTAGCCAGGCCCCTTGGAGGCGTCTAGCAGGAGTAGCCCGGTCTCCTGGCCAAGCCCCTTGGAGGTGTCTAGCAGGAGTAGTCTGGTCTCCTAGGAAGGCTTGTCTCCTAGCCAGGCCCCTTGGAGGCGTCTAGCAGGAGTAGCCCGGTCTCCTGGCCAAGCCCCTTGGAGGTGTCTAGCAGGAGTAGTCTGGTCTCCTAGGAAGGCTTGTCTCCTAGCCAGGCCCCTTGGAGGCGTCTAGCAGGAGTAGCCTGGTCTCCTAGCCAGGCCCCTTGGAGGCGTCTGGCAGGAGTAGCCTGGTCTCCTAGCCAAGCCCCTTGGAGGCGTCTAGCAATAGTAGTCCGGTCTCCTAGCACGGGTTGTCTCCTAGCCAGGCCTCTTGGAGGCGTCTAGCAAGAGTAGTCCGGTCTCCTAGCAGGGGTTGTAGTCTCCTGTTAGGGTTCCGTTGAAATTTAGCCTGTAAAACCTACCGCAGAATCTCTTTTAAACAAGGTCACTAGAGGCGAAACAGGAATTGTGGCGCAACACGTCAAGCGCCTTAGGTAGTAGCCCATGGCACTGCTTAGAATGGGCCAGGCGAACCACCTAGAAAGAAGTACGAGGTGAATCTCTTAGCAGATCCTAGCGCCCCCAGACACCGTGGAGACATCTAACAGGATTAGTTGAGCTACCAAGTAATGATAGCAGAGTCGGCGACCAACCGGGTGCGTCCTAGTTGAGTCAGTCATGCAGGCTGGCTCACGTCGATATATAATTACCTGGTCAATGATGGACAGTCTGCATGAGTTTCCTACTCCATGTTTTTAGTAGAGAAATTGCAGATTTATCAGCTGTGAAGGAGTATTTTCAAGACGCCACAGATTCGCTGGACGATGATTCAGGGGGATGGAACGAGAGGTGGTATTTTGCTGGAGTTTATATTTTAGTAAAGTGAAGCAACTCTTGTTTTAATACATATTGTAATGTTAATATATTTGGCTTATGTGTTAGAGATTTGCGTGCTGGCAGTGTTTAATGTTTATTCTGACATTTTTCCGCCCCTTCTCAAGGTGCTGTCATGGAATATTAAACAATGTCTTGAGTTTTAACCAACGAATGTATTTCAAACCTTAATTAATTTTTATTTTTTTTTATTTTAGATTTATTAATTTTAGGTTTTTTATTTTAGATTTATTTATTTTAGGTATTTTATTTTAGATTAACGTATTTTCTTGTACAAAATACTTGAATGACTTAGAATTAAAAGCTCGTTAACGTCTAAGATTGTATGGTTGACTAGACGATCAACCAGGAGGCCTGTGGTCAGAGACCGGGCCTCGGAGACGTTGATCCTCGGAACCACCACAAGGCAGGGTTGCCCCCTATTGCCAAACTACAAAGGTTCTAGTGTGGTTTAGAGTCGCAGACGTGAAGTTTGAAAAAACCCAGCAGATTTTGGAGTTGTCAAGTCGGAAGACTTTACTTTTAAAGAACACAATCAATTATCCGTAACAACTGCAAGAAAAAGGATAAGTCGGTCCGTCTAATTACTACAAGCTACCACAAGCTTCACAAAGCTTCCTGGGAATACGTTAGTAATGAATAAACATGATACATTTACTTATTATAATGTTGGTGCTGAATGTACAACACGAAAAAAACATAATTTTAATCTGAAAAAGTATGTTTTTATAAGGAAATTAGACGAAAATAAAGAGCTGGTGACGCCAAATCAAGTCGACGATCCAAGCGTTGGTTAGGTTAGGTCAGGTTAGGTCAGCCTAACATATCATATTTATTCATTACTAACGTATTGTCAGGAAGCTTTGTGAAGCTTGTGGTAGCTTGTGGTAATTAGACGAACCCGGATAAGTTGGATAGCAAGAACCTTTCAAACGAGAGATGCTATACCAGTGATGAGGACGGTAGTGCTCTCTGGGGAGGAATATTGTTGCACAATAACAGCCTCATTCAAAGCTGGAGAAATTGCTAACCTGGAGAAGCAAAGATCTTTAACGGCTAGAATCCACTTGATAAAATATCTAATTATTGGGACTGCCTAAAATTTTAAAATCTGTATTTCCTAGAGCACAAACGAGAAAGCTACATAATAATTTACACTTTGAAAATACTAGAAGGACTCGTTCCAAATCTACACTCAGAAATAACATCACATAAGACAAGGAGGCATGGCAGGATGTGCAGAATACCCTCGTTGAAAAATAAAGGTCAATTTAAGTACATCATTTTTGTGCCGTTGTGACAACTCAAGAAGACGGGCTGCATAGTGTATAAAGGGAACATGTTAAACACCTCGGGAACTTGTTAAACAAAGGGGAACTTGTTAAATATCCACGTTCTCATAATCCTTAAAAATCCCAACCAATCCTCCAGAATTATATTGACCGAAAAGCAACTTTAAAACACACACACACAAGGGGCCGGCCGGGTGAGCGGACAGTACGCTGGGCACATGATCCTGTGGTCGGGGTTCGATCCCGTGCGCCGGCGAGAAGCATTGGGCAGAGTTTCTTTCACCCTATGCCCCTGTTACCTAGCAGTAAATAAGTACCTGGGAGTTAGTCAGCTGTCACAGGCTGCTTCCTGTGTGTGTTTGTGTGTGTGGAAAAAAATTAGTAACAGTTGATTGATTGACAGTTGAGAGGCGGGTCGAAAGAGCAGAGCTCAACCCCTGCAAGCACAACTAGGTGAATACATACACAGGAAGCAGCCCATAACAGCTTCTAACTCCCAGGTACCTATTTATTACTAGGTAACAAGGGCATCAAGGTGAAAGAAACTCTGCCAATTTCGTTTCTGCCATCACCGGGGATCGAACCCGGATCCTAGGATTATGAGTCCAGAGTACTGTCCACTCAGCTATCAGGCCTCCCTGATGTGTGTGCATATGTTAGAGTGATATACAGTACTAGTATATGTACATAGTAGATATAACAGAGGAAAAATTTATTAGTTAGAAAGGCGGGGTCCAAGAGCTAATAGCTTGATTCTACAGATGCAAATAGTAAATACACACACAATCTAAACTATGACACTTATAAAAAAAAAAGTCCACACTTTGTGCTGTTTGTATTCGAAATGTCGCAAAAAAAACAAATCCAGATGGAAGAGAGAATAAACCTTGTGATATTGTGTACAGATAATGTGTTGACGTTCCTGCAATCACACCCGCTGATGGATGAGGCGGTGGCACACGAGCACAACAAACCCGTGTTCTTCAAGAGGGACCTGATCTTCACTCACCTGGTAGTCGACAAGGTCACTGGGGGAACCTATGGTCAAGAGAACATCTACACTGTCTACTACGCTGGTTCTTGTACGTTTTAATGTTTTAACTTCAAGTGTTTTAAATCTAATTTAAATTATAAAAGTAATACTAAAATTTATTATTATTGTTTTAATAAATATATATATATACAGGTATTTATTTATTTTTTGCATTTTAGACATTAAAAAGATCATGGGGTGTTTGAATAATCAGGTTGTAAGTAGGGTGATTGTAAATGGACTGTCTTAATACAACTGTTTTAGTTATTTTGTTTAAAAGTACCAAACTTGTCCTGGGAGGAAGGGGGGGGAGGGGGAGATAGGGGAATAGGAGGAACTATAATAATCAAATAGCAATTGGATTAGATTTGATTAGTTGCAACTGGACACCATTTCCATGATGAATCATTTTATCATTGACTGCTGTTGTTAGTACGGTAACTGAAAATGAATACAATGCCATGTTTGTGTGTGTGTCTTCCCCCCAGTGGAGGGTCGAGTGTACAAGGTGGTAGAATGGCTGGACGAAGATGGAGTCTCGCGTTCGGAGCTCCTGGATGTCTATGAGGTCACCACTCCAGAGCCAATAAGGGCCATACAGATTTCCAAAAAGGTGGGTTTTTATTTTGTTGGTTCTCATGAAAATACGGTACCTGGATGGGGTTCTGGGAGGTCTTCTACTCCCCTAGGCCCGGCCCGGGACCAGGCTTAACTTGTGAGGGCTTGGTCCGTACATACACATATACATATGGTATATTATGTACTGTATGTGCGTGTGTATAAAATATATACAGGATGCCGCAATAAAATTACTGTAATCTCGTTTATAATGGCTACTTTTTATTTTATTTTCCAGTAAAGTAAAATAGGAATTATATATATTTTATTACTAGTAGTAGGCATCCATCAGTCTCAGGAGACTATGGAGTTGCACTCTGGAGTGGCCTCTCCAGGGCGCGCAAAACCAGGGTAGGTTGATACGGAGGGGAAGCTGTTACCCAAACAGCAGATTCCCCCCTCTCCACGGTGCCAAAAGTCTCCCCAAAAATATCATATAATTATGATGTACAGTACTACAATTATCATAATTATGACAGCCGCCAGCTTCCTGTCCCCGTCATGGCCACTAGATAGATGGTGGCCCTCAGGTAAATTCTTGATGCATTAAATTAGCAGTCATCAAGCCCAGCTGGCAAAGGACAGTGGAGTAATATTGTGTATGTTATCTTAAACATTAATATTTTTTGTACAAAATACTTTGCATTAATAAGACAGAATAATACCCCATTTCACAGCTTGAATTGTATTATTAGTGTATACTAAGTCCCAACTTTGAGTTGTCAGTTCTATTTTTGGGTATAATTGTCATTCTTTTCCAGAAGAAAATTATACATAAGTACTTAATCACAATTAATTTTTTTGCTGTACTGTTGGTTTTGAGAGAGGTGGATGCGCATAGTTTTCATAAACTACTGCAGTGACATTTCTTTTTGTATTCTAAAAATGTAGGAATATGCTAATGGGATTTAAATCATTACTTGTATAAGGTACATTGATAAAAGTTGAATGGCTAACTTAGTTCGGCGTGTTTATATATTGTGTGTTAAATGAAAAGGAGAAACGTAATGATGCCATATTATACTTCTATTCAAATTCAGGTAAAATTCTTTTGCTTTTGCAGCACAAGTCTTTATATGTGTCATCTGACACTCGAGTACGCCAAGTGGACCTGTTTATGTGTCATGGTCGCTATGACAACTGCCTCCGATGTTCTCATGATCCCTACTGTGGCTGGGATAAGGATGCTAATATATGCAAGCCTTATCAGCCTGGGTAAGTGCAATGATTAATTTTATTAATCATGTTTTAATCTCGTGGAACACATATATAATGACATTAACATCAGTGATACTCAGATAAACACAAGTTGACTCGTGGACCTGCTAGATTTTGCTTCTATTTGTGTCTACAACTAACTTCCAAAGTCAGTATCTTAGAATGTTCATGCTTGGATTCTTTTTTTATTTTTTTTGTGTGACATCTTATGAATAACTTTTTTTTTTATTTTAATTGTGGATGGGGAGGTATTATGATCTTCATCAGAATGAGAACGAAAAGGAATAACTGTACGTTACCAAAAGGTACTACATATTCTTCACACACGAGGGGCCTGACAGCTGAGTGGACAGCGCTCGGGATTCGTAGTCCTGAGGTTCCAGGCTCGATCCCCGGTGGAGGCGGAAACAAATGGGCAGAGTTTCTTTCACCCTGATGCCCCTGTTCACCTAGCAGTAAATAGGTACCTGGGAGTAAGACTGCCGCTACGGGCTGCTTCCTAGGGTGTGTGTAACAAAAGAGAGGCCTGGTCGAGGACCGGGCCGCGGGGATGCTAAGCCCCCGAAATCATTCCAAGATAACCTCAAGATAACCTTACACCAGGGAAGGTCCCCCTTCAGTAATCTCAGTTTTACATGTAACTTTAAACATTTCCCACTAATTATATTGTCTACATATTTGTAAATACTTTCAAGAATGCCTTAGTAAGAATATAGTGCTAACCAATTATGATGTCACCTCACTATTGACATGAAGAATTATTTGCACAAGTCAGTTTAAAAAGACTAGGAAGAGGCTTAGGTATTTGTATTGTAGTATCTTCCATTCCCCCCCCCCCCCCACACACCGACCCCCCTCCCTGCATATATTTATATCTTCTATTGCCCCCTACAATTTTCATCTTCATTTGTATTTTTTTAATATGTGTGACGGTAACGCGTTGGTGTTCGGCTGTTTAAGGCTAGGGGTATGGCCTCGTCACATAGTTATAAAAAAAAATAGAAAAACTGGAACTTCGTCTGTGGTAAGGTAAGGAGAAGACACACAAAACACAAGTAAACTTTAACAATGAAATTTTAATTACGTTAAATAAATCAAAACATGAAAATAATGCACAAACAAATTCTTATAATAAAATCAATCAATCAAAATAATAAGAATACTTAAATGACACAATGAAAAGTTACGTTAAGGCAAAATAACAAGAAGTGCAATACAACAGTAAGTGGGAGGTGCTGGAATATTGGCTTAAAGCCACCACCTCTCTCAGTACACTCTAGAGTCTAGCTGGGAGGTGTGCTGGCTACGAAAGCACGGAACATTCTGAAGACTGATGTTGGGGCGACCCCAGACGTCGGGTAGTATTGGGGGGCGAGTGCAGGTGCAGCCAGACCGGCGACCAATCAGCGGAGCCGTAGCGATCAACGGGTAGTTTGGTGGTTGGAGTTCGAACAGGTGGCTGGTTGCATACGTTTCTGCTCACCCTGGCAAGCCTTGCTGGTGCTGGTGTTGTTGGCGTTGTTGGACATTTCTTCCATAGTCTTTTTATATAATTGTGAAGACGTAATTTTGGAGGGAAGAGCAGGCTCAATCTCTTGAAGGAGATTATCGTCACAACTCTCCCCCGAAGCCTGCGGTTCTGGAAGAAGTACGTCGTTATGTGGTGGAGTAATGGATGGAGTCGCTTCTACTTCATAAACTCTGGAGAGGGCATCGGCTATGGTGTTGTCAGAACCCTTGATATAGCGGATCTCCAGGTTGAAGTCTTGTAAATACAGAGCCCATCGTAGAAGACGCTGGTTGGTGAATTGGGCTTGATGTAGGAAGCGGAGAGGGTTGTGGTCTGAGAAGATGGTGGTAGACCTGGCGCCTTGTAGGTACGGAGCGAAGTGTTGGAGGTTCAGGACGATGGATAGTAGCTCCTTTTCAATAGTGCTGTAGTTCCTCTGGTGTGGTTTCAGTTTGTAGCTGTAGTAGCTGACAGGTAGAACCTCCTCGCCTCGTAGTTGCATCAGGACACCACCAACGCCGGTACCACTGGCGTCGACATGAAGGACGAAAGGCTTGGTGATATCTGGAGAGGCGAGAATGGGGTTAGAACAGAGGAGGAATTTGAGTTGTTCGAAAGCAACGGTTTGCTGCATGGTCCAATTATACCGTTGCTTGGGACTGGTTAATAGAATTAGAGGTGTGGCGACTGTACTGAAATTCCTCACAAACCTACGGTAGTAAGAGGCAAGACCAAGGAAGCGCAGGAGCTGCTTCCTGGTGGTAGGCTGTGGATACTGTAGGATGGCTTGAGTGTGTGAGTCTAACGGAGCTATGCTGCCACTCCCAATAACATGACCCAGATAACGCACTTTACCTTTCGCGAAAGTGGACTTGCCCAGGTTGATGGTGAGGCCGGCTGTCAGGAGCTTGGAGAACAGACGTCGCAGCTGGAGCAGATGTTCACTCCAGGAGTTGGAGGCTACGACGATATCGTCCAGGTAGGCGTATGTGTTATCCAAGCCCTGGATGACACGGTTGACAGCTCTTTGAAAGGTGGCCGGGGCATTACATAGTCCGAAAGGAAGGCGTTCATATCTGAAAAGTCCAAAAGGAGTGATGAAGGCAGATATTTCTTTAGCGCGCTCCGTTAGACACACTTGATAGTACCCCTTAAGCAAGTCCACTTGGGACAAGTACTGGGCACTACCAATGGCATCAAGGATGTCATCTATCCTTGGCAAGGGGTAAGCATCCTTGACAGTGACAGAGTTCAGTTTTCGATAGTCAGTGCACAACCGCACCTTACCTTGGGGTTTGGGCACCAAGATACAAGGTGAGGCCCAGGGGGACTCACAAGGTGTAGCCAGTCCATGATCCAAGAGGTATTGCACCTCAGCACGCATGACTTCCTTCTTGCTCGGGCTGATTCGGTAGAAGGGTTGACGAATCGGCCGGGTGTCGGGGAGCAGTTGGATGTCGTGCTGGGTAACATTACACTCTTGGGGATCATCTCTGAACAACTCTTGATGTTCTCTGAAGATCTTGACGAGAGGTGCACTATGATTATCCTGAAAGTATTTGGGAAGATCATTAAGGATTTCGGAATTAGAAAGCGCTGACTCCTTGTCAGTGCTTTCGGGAGGAGAAGCTGGGAAGGTCTCACTGTGGATGTAGGGTTCTGTGAATGTGGAATAATTAGTCAAGACAGTGGGAGGAGTACCATTATATTGCTTCAGGAGGTTGACGTGGCACAGCTGGGTCTTCCGCCGCCTATCTGGAGTCTCTATCACATAATTATTATTATTCCTGCACTCTTTGACGCAGTAGGGTCCTGAAAATCTGTTTTGTAAAGGTGAACCTGGGATAGGGAAATAAGCAAGGACGAAGTCTCCCGGCTTGAATTTTCTTACTTTGCTGGTCTGGTCGTAATGAGTCTTCATTCTCACCTGGGCTTTCAATAGATTATCATGGGCAAAGCGGTGGACTCTCTCTAGAATGTGCTGAAGGTTTTGAAGAAACTGGGGCACATTCTGATGCTCACTGAAGGTGGCATCTCTGAGAGAGTCTTTGAAAGCCTTAAGGGGAGTACGGCACTTACGGCCGTAGAGCATCTCATAAGGAGATACTCCTAGGGACTCATTGGGGAGACTTCTGAAAATACACATTATTAGGTCAATCTGCTTATCCCAATCCTTTGAGGTTTCACTACAAAACTTTTTCAAGAGTGCTTTGATGGTCTGATGACTACGTTCAAGAGAACCCTGTGAAGCAGGATGATAGGGGCTGGACAATACCTGTTTGATGTTGAACTCCTCCAGTGTCCTTTTGAAGAGATCACTGGTGAAGTTGGTGCCACAGTCACTTTGAATCTCCCTGGGAAATCCGTATTGAGTGAAGATCTTCAATAGATGTTTGATAACCGTAGCAGCCGTGATGTTCTTCACTGGAACTGCTATGGGAAATCTGGTGGTAGGACACAGGATGGTTAGGATGTAGGCGTTACCTGAACTGGTCCGAGGTAAAGGACCAACACAGTCTATTATGAGTCTGTGGAAAGGTTCCGCAGGCACCTGTATGGGAATCAGTGGTGCTCTGGGAATGGAGACGTTCGGTTTGCCTGCCATCTGACATGTATGACACTGTTTTACGTACTGTTTGACGTTGTTTACCATACCTGGCCAGTAGTAGTCTTGACGAATCCCATGGTAAGTCTTGTTGAAGCCGTAGTGGGAGAATGATCCGTGGGCCAGGTGTAGAATAGTGGGCCGCAGGCTGGTGGGAATCACAAGTTGTTCGGTGTTGGCCCAATCGTCCTCCTCCTTCAGTTTACTGGGTCTATATCGGCGGTAGAGCAAGTCGTTCTCTAGGAAGAACCCAGGAATACTGTCGGGTTGAGTCTCAGCCTGGAAAAACAATGGTGTTAAAGTAAGATCTTCCCTCTGCAACTTACGGAACTCCAACTTGGTCAGATGCGGGGGTAGTTTCTGAGGGTCTTGAGGGACAGCGGTAGCAGTAGAGTCAGCTGGCTGTGGACGTGCGGCTTGTGCACGGGTGGTCACGAGAACCGGAGGAGAAACTTCACTCTCTTTAACCTCTGCTGGAACATACTCAAGAATAGGGTTACTTGGCACAGAGTTACACACCTGGGGTTTGTCCATGACGATCAGGTTGGTTGGTTGCAGGTCTTCTGCCAAGTCGTTGCCTAGGAGAAGTTGCACTCCAGGCATGGGAAAAGGCTTTTCCCTGACGGCGACTTGGACTTCCCCGTTCACGTAGGGACAATCCAGGTGGACTCTGGCGAGAGGGTATGGAGTAGTAGCAGTGAGGTCAGTGATGAAGACCGTTTCCCCGGTGTAGACTATGTTGGGCACAGCCGACTTCAAGATGATCGATTGTAGAGCCGCTGTGTCCCTCAAGATCTTCAATTTGAAACGTCCCTCCGGATTTGAACCGTTGGCAGAGACAGTTCCAGTATACAGGTGGTTACTGAAAAGAGAAAGATCATT